TAAATGAATAGCTAGCTGTCTAATATATAAGAAAGCGTGATTGTAAGCTAAATTACTATCAAGCAGATATATTTCAACTAAAGAATGTCTCATAAAATTTATTGCAGGTAAAGTTGTGAGGGATACAAATTTAGAATTTTCAACATATTTTACATACATCGTCTGCAACATATTAATTTAAAAATGTTAACTGTACCTCGCTATATTTTTATTATATATATTATAAATACCAATATAGTATTAAAATTCTATTTTTACCTTAAATAATATTTCTAAAACAGATTCTTGATTGCTGGTCGCAATACGTAATATGCTCAAAAAAGAAACAACACGCACAGACTCTTCCCCGGTTGACCAAAATTTCAACAAAATCTTCAATAATGGCTTAGTTAATGATGAAAATGACTGTGTATATGGTAACATTTGATGCAAATGTTTTAAAAGGATTGTGAGAATATTAGACGACGTTACATTTTGTAAAATCTATAAATAAATACACATATATAGCTACAATGATTAAAATCCACCATGCTCTATGTTTAAATAGTAGTAATGGTATTTACCTTAATTAAATCTGTTAAATATGACTTGAGAATATTTTTTACTTTTCCAAACCGTTTAAGCTTATGAATTTGAGGTTGAGTTTCCGAACTCAGTTTTAAATAACGCTTAAATGCATCCGGTAAATACAGTATACACAGTTGTACAACTTCATTAAACACTAAAAAATATTTTAATTGTTGAAGTAGAAAATACACTTATTCAATATTAATATTGAATGCTAAAAAAACCAACCTGCACCACCCTCTACTTTATATTGTAATAATTGTGGATCAGCAGATTCAGCTACAGTGTGTAATGCGGCATGGAAAGCTTCTACAGCACATTTAATCGTTTTAGATGATCTGGAAAGTTATATACAGACGCATATAGTACGTATATACAAACTAATGCAACCAGTTTAATTAATAGTGGTATAAAATGATTTAATAATATAAGACAGTACTTGTCTTTTTGAATGTCTTCTTGCCATGTTTTTAATAATTTCAATGTGATTTTTCGTTTGTCCCTTATTTCACTACCTTGATCCATTTCATAATCACTCTCATCGCTAGCAACCTGAAATTTTATACATATAAAATAATATTTTTCTATCCCCTCTTATTTTTTATATCAAATAGTTCTGGTTTCTTTAATATATGGAGATATTTCATTTTCATACCTCTAAACGACTACTAGGTATATGTTTTGTATCTAATTCATTTAATGAAGATTTATCATCATTATTAATATCATCATCCTCGTCCGATATATTAAATTCTAAAAGATTTTTATCATTTTCTTTTAAATATTTATAAAACTCAGGATCTGTATCCTTCAATCTCATTAAAGACTTCTTATGTTCTACTGGATCCATATCACTTTCGCTACTTTCAGCATCATCTTCATAGGTATTTCCACCTATCGCATAATATATAAAATTCTGCATAAATAAAATATAATTTTTTGCGACTTCTGAAGAAAATAAAGTAATATCTTTTTTCAATTATATATTACATATATTATATGTTTTATAGATATCACCTTTTTTTATAATATATCCAATGCATAAGCTTTTTCAAAAGCTAAGTACGTATAACACATGGTTGCAAAATATGTTAATGATTAAAATTAAACCTAATTATAGTATGTTATATTTTTCAGAGATGTTATACATATATAAAAAAAGTTCTTTTTGCACATTACTAAGGATACTTAAGTACAAAAGATACAGACACTATGTCTTTATAGTTAATTATCTACAGCACAGAAAATTTTTACTTGTTCTTTCTTTAAAGTTATTTAACTTATACAAACAATCGATCAGAATCATAACCACAAAACAAAGTATCGTTGCAAAATCATTATTAAAAAATTGACACAAAATTTATAATTTAATATACGCAAATTATTCGCATGTCACACACGTATCGTCCTTATATAATTCAAATTTAAATTCCCTTTAATCCCACATATTTTGATATATCTAATTTTCATAGATTATTCATAATTATAAATCAAAATATTTATCAATGTTTTAAAGTAATTGTTTCACCCATGCCTAAGTTTCAAATGTATCTTTGAGGTTTATGTATGATTTTGGATATTTTGAACCGAAATGATATAAAAACGCTGTTGACTATTTACTTGATTTAATTGTTTCTTTCATTCATTAGTACCTTGTTCATTATTATCATTGCCATTTATTTCGTCCTCAAAAGTTTGATTAAAGAAGTCATCCATAGTTGCATCTTTTAATTGCTTTCTCTTCTTTGTAACAAGTTTTTTTGTTTTTCCCTTCACAGATTTTTCTTTTTTTATCTTCATAATTTAACTGCAAGCAGAAACGAGCTAAACATAAGTTTATACATATGTACAAATGAATTTCAAGAAATAATATTGATACAATAAATATAACCTATAAAACTTCTACTTCTATTTTCTTTGATATTATGTTCTTATAAAATATATGATACGTACCAGAAAATGAGAATACTGTTTATTTATGTTATATGGTATTTTTGGTTTTTAGATTAAAATGTTTACGATTCTAGCTCGTTTTAAACATTACTTCAACTTCCCACGTGCATAACTTGGTAAATCAATAACACAACATGTAATATTGGTAATTGTAGGTATCTGATATAACTTTTGATGTTGATAAAATAGAAACCATCCCTTTCATCAAGTACTTTCAATGATCTTTATCGACTGGACGAGGAGGAATCTTTTCAAAAAAATCTTTTTTTTTAAATTATCATTGCAACAGAGATATCTAATAATACATCTTCAATACGAATCAACAATAGAAAAAATAAATAAATTCATTTTACGAAGGACGGGAAGTAATTATTTATTACCTCTTTGCACTTGTAAAATTATTATTCCATTCGAGTTCGCCTAATGCAGATGCATTTATAATAACTCGTAATATTTGAATTAAAAATTAAGAAAATTTACTACTAAATGTTTGAATTATTATATCGATAATTAAGATGTCGTACATTATTATAATCTGTATATGTGTTTCAGGTAATCGCTATGTTCACAGATTTTGTAAAATCTTGTTCGCAAATAACATGCTTCGTTCCTCAATATACTCTTCTATTTTAAGAAAAAATACCTATATTTTAACAATTATTTGCTAAAGAAAAGAAGTCTTAAATAACTTAGTAGTAAGCAAATTCATTGCGTAACAAACTGTAGAAGAAATAAATTAACAATGTGCTATGCACACTACCTAAACAATATTAGTAGGGTCATGATCGCGATTACCACCAACAGGGGATACTATCGATACGATATAAATTTTAAAACATTCGACTAAATAAAGAAAGCGACAAACAATTCTTATATCGCCATTACGGTCCTTGAATTTGACATTCATAGACGTCACTTCCCATAGCACACTGAAAAATAAAGCGTATCGACGATAGATAATAGAAGAACCGCGTGGTTAAAATATATGCAATGTTTGTCGGAGAGATAGTCGAATCTACAGCGTTATCGTTAATTAAGAAATTAGTATGTAACCGATTGGCCGCTTGGAGCTTCTATTGCGATTAAAGTACGTAATGATATTATGCATGTTTAGGACACAGAATTCAACGACATCTATAGAAAATCGATTGCTTCCCTAAATTTTGATACAAAAGAATTCACTTGACGCGGACCAATTGGATATTTTCTAAGTAAATTCTTCTGTGAGACACTCGCTCTAACAGAAAAATGAATAAGAGAAAAGATTCACAAAGCGACTAGAAGTTGTTTCACTTGACGCAAAAGACAAAAGTTTGTTACATTTATTCAAAAATATATATTTTATAAGAAATAAATCTTTCGTTGTTTTGCAACGAACGTGACAAATGTAGTTGAAATTTAAAACTAAGAGAAACTAGATACACATGTACGTTAGCAAATATTAATTTATTATTTTTAATGTATTTTCGAAAGCCGTTTGAAGAACGTAAATCTATTTTACATTCCATTTTACGTACGTATATCCTTTTCTGTTTAAAAATCAATTTTGAAGTCGAGTTCAAAATGAGAATATCAACATCTTATAGTAACCTTATCCGTTATGTGCAATTAACCGAAATATTAAATTTGGCATACGAAATGTACAAACAATCTTGCATATGGCAGTAGTATAATTTATTGGTTTGCCCACTCTTGCGAGAATAATTAATGCGTGTTATGAAACACCCTGTCTGCCGCCAATGCAGCGTCTGACACACTGAAGGTTTGCATACAGTGGTGTATCATGCGTTTTCCTACTCTTATAAATTCTTCCAACGTATCTTTTATGACATCATTGTTTGTCTGTAATATCGAAAAAACCATGTAATATTGAAAAAATGAGAGAAGATAGCGATTTATAACAACCCGTAAAGTCTCTTATCGTCTTCGTTACGTTTTCAAAATATACAACATGCGCGTAAACTTATATTAGTTAATTATTGTCTGTATGTCGATTATGATTTTCAGAAAATATGGCAAAAAATGTTTGTGCGATTAATTCTTCCCTCTTAAACCGCGTATATCTTTTAATCAACGTTCAACGATCTTAATTACAGTTTAAATTTGATTCAAGTGAAATTTAAGCTGTAAATTAATTAAAATTAAATTAAGTTTGATTAGCTTACAGTAAATTAGTCGTTACCAATGTACCGACACCATAGCTTTCGACGAAAATCAAAACAATATTTGTATCAAAGAATACGATAAAAAAGGAAATCGATATATGATTAAATTACATTACTCTATTGGTAATATTCACTTTTAGATGTCCAATCCAATAGATGACACAAACGTCCAATAGATAAACATTCGTTGATCACTTCGTTAATAATACGAAGAGCTTGCGATGAAGATGCGACGTGTTGTGAAATTAAGACGTATCGCAGAGTGCGGTTTAATTCCATTCAATCTTTATTTTTAGCAACCATCGATATATTTAGCATAGTTTAATTCGAATAAGATGCTATCTTCATTGTCGCGCCTTTACCACATACGGCCGTGAAATAAACATCGCGCGTACATACTCACGTGTCCTCGGTTAGCTCGAACTTACATATATAAACGATACGTGCATTCAGTTCGATGACTAAAACAGAATCGGATGGAGTTATAGCGCTTCGCTGGGTTTGCTTTGTTTCGTTGTTTAATAGGAATTATTTGAACATCAAAGTGCAACGTACTATAGCATCGAACGAAATGAATATTTCCAAGGCTGATTTGATCGATCAGTTAAAACACACAGGGAAACTCTGGTATCTTGTTAACCCCTATGAGACAATTTTCGAATTCCCACACGAAGTTCCCGATTATCAGCAGCAGGTAACCATATTTATATTTTATAATAATATAAAGCGCGAAACGCGTCTTTTTTACCGTTGATGCCGCAAAATTATTTATATAATCAACGAATAGTAAGTTTTGTATATTTTTACGTTAAATCTTAATATGGTATTCGGTAAAGAAGACAAAATTTCGTATATCGCGAAGTTTATGTAATAATACGTAGATACATACGTTATCGATAATACTGTAACAAACATAAATATTGCATCAATTAAGATAAGATAAATGTATACGTAGGTATGGTTACCATTTTTGGTCCTTATCGTATTTGAGCATATTATACTGGCCTTTAAGAAGAAAAGATTCCGCTTGAACGATCAAGTGACTTCCTTGTCTCAATGGATATTGCAAGAAACTAGCCGGTAAGCATAGGTAACTTTTGAAATGTATCCGCAATTACCGCCCATTGCAATTAAGAAAGACAAATTTTAAACATTGATACGATATTATGAAAATAAAGTGCAACGGTAAAATAAAATCTTTCTTTATGGATTTCAATGGTAATACCGTTCTGTTATAGTTACGTATATCGTTTTAGGAATTACAAATTTCTTCGTAATTATCATATGTAAAATATACGGATTTACAACTTTTCGATAACAGCATCTGAAACATTTCTATTGGTTAACAAGTACATCATCGAATACGATTCTTGAAGATAAACGCGAATAATTCAAGTTTAAAAGGCATCAGAAACCTTTAGTAATCGTACAATTTAATTTCATATTTACTTAAATGTAGATATAGTAGCACGATATAAGATACGAAAAAAGGCATAAATTCTTAATGCGTATTTTTAATTGACACGGTACTTGGTACAAAACGATGTATGCTTTTGTATGGTCTAGTAATTCTTAATACTAGGTCCAATAATCGCATCAACATATATTACCTGTCGTCTTATTCGAAGTATCATTGTATATTTCGACCGAAAATCGCGATCAAACCTTGCAAATTAACAATGACACCGAAATGAGTTCGACTCTTTTTTATAAATGAATTATCTCGACGATGAAGTGGGTGATTCGTCCCTAATATCTTCAACGATACCTTCCAGTACTCTCTTCCGTGGTGCCGAATATTACGCGTACATCGTAATTTACGAGAGATGTCGCTGGTGGAATCTGCCTTGGAACTCGCTATGGACTTGGTGTATCACTGCCGTGGGGGTGGATTTCTGTTACTATTGGGTTCACCGCAGTAACCACGGTTAAATTCCTATCCAACCATGTGTGTGTGATTGTCCATCCTCTACTTGACAAATTTATAGTGTTTCTCGCCCGTTTACAGAGATACACTTTTTATGGGCTCAGCATCAAGTACATCATAGCAGCGAAGAATTCAATCTCGCGGTTGGTCTGCGGCAATCCATCTTGCAACACTGGTGTAATTTCGTAAGTATCGCTCGTGTTACATACAGATATGTTCCACGCTACGTAATGAAAAAAAAGAAAGGAAATTCGATGTTTCGCATATCTGCGTACACATTGCGCTTTTTTTTATTTATATGTAAATGAACCAACAATGAATGAAAGAATTTATCAAACGATTTCAAAGATACATTTGGCAGCAAAATTGAAAGATCTCGAAATTTTTGCCGAAAAGGGTATGGATCTCTGAATTGTTGTGATACTAAAAAAAAAAAAAAAAAAAAAAAAAAAAACAAA